AACCCCCGACCAGATATATATATATATATATATCAATTTTCAATGAATCATTAGGATCATTGGTACAGTAGTTGTTAAGAAGCGGGGGAGGGTGGGAGAGTTGAGAAAGTACATGAAGATTTAGATTCAATATTCAATTTTCATTGTCTCTATTGTAATATTTCCTACCGATTAAAAACTACATCAATTTTTAGCAACTATTAAAAATAATTTAATAAAATTGTTCTGCTAATTAAGTTATGTACTATTAATCAACCCCTTAAACATCAGTTATTTTAAAAGGAAGAGAATAGCATTCACTAAGTCACCACTTCCAATTATTATATTATTTATTAATATTTTTTCCACTTATTTTCAATTGAAATTTCAAAATTAGTGAATTATGCATGCATATTGCATAGTTGGGTTTTCTTTTTATTTTTTGGGGAAAAAACAGCACAGTTGATTGTTAGTCATAGCAAAAAGAGGAAAATGAGTGTTACACCCGTTAAAGGGGAAAAACTCAATAGACACCCTCTTTAAAAATTCAAGTGACTACAGTAATAAATTAAGAGAATTGGAAATTCAAATAAGAAAACAGGGATCATTAAAAAAAAGGGGGGGGGGGGGGGGATGAGCGGAAAGAAACAAAAGAGAGGAACCAGAACAACTCAATTTCAAGAAGAAAAAGCTTCTATTTAGAACCATCTTTGAAGCATTACATGAAAAGGAGACACTTTTAGAGTTGGCAAAAAAGAATTTTGCAGATAAAATTTATTACCGATAATAAATGAATAATTTAAATAAATATTTTAACATATGATTATCGATAATAAATAGATAGTTTAAATAGATATTTTAACATATGATGTAAAGGTAAGTTGAAAATCATGTTCATTTTATTATGATACCAATACTAATAAATGAAGATTATTGGTAAATGGAAATGATACATATAATATATATTTTGTTTAATTATGATACCCTTTAAGTTTTATCTTAATATTAATAAAATTAGAACGGTTTAAACTGTGTTAAAAAATATATAACGTTTTTATTTATTGATCAAAATAATGTATATTATAAGTAATTAAAATAAAACTTATTTATAGGATAAATAATATTATAATAACTTAAAAAAATTGTTTTTATTTTCCTTTCATGCGTATCTCTATATATATATATTCTTTGATGACATTCAAATGAAAATTGACTAATAGTTTTGTTTCATAGAAAGTATAGGATACTCTCACCATCCTATAATTAACATGGTAATCTACGGGTTCTTATTATAGTAAATTGAGTTATGATATTGTTATTTTATGAACATACTTCACTTTTGAGTCAAATTATTAAATTAAATGAAATTAATTTTTTAAAATACATATCATAAATTAAGTATAATTTTATTAAATCATACAATATAAAAAATAATATAATATTTTTATTAATTGAGAAAAATAATATTTCGGGAGTTATTCGTTCTGTCATTATTAGTAGAGTTGAAACATTTTATATTTTTATATTTTATTTAAAAATTTAAAAATAAAATAAAAATTGAAGTATATAATAAAAGGCGTTAAAAATTTGAGGATTTGAGTAGTTAGATGTGATTAACTTGTTTAAATGATTATACAAGTTGTTAATTTTAAATATAATTTTTATTTTGAAAGATTTAAGAATACGTCAAAAAAGTGAAGAAGGAAAATGGTTATAAATTGATGTATCCCTTCTACGTATAATAGATAACTATAACTATTATGGTGAAAAAAGAAAAGAAGATAGATATCATATAATATTCTGGATATCGCACGTGTAACAAATCGGTTTATAAAAAGATTAGAACTTAGAGCACCTCCGGCGGGAGGTGCTTGTTCCGTGTCTTAGTTGTAAGTAACGGTGCTTAGGAGAAATTCTCGTTGGAGTAAATCGTGGCAGCAACGGTTCTTAAATTTTTCTCTTTGTTGCTTGCAGAAGCAACGGTTCTTAACCCTGTCAAATTGAAAATGAAGAGATTTGATTGGATGAGCGTCATCCACGGTGGAACGGTTTTGCAAAAAAAAAAACTGATAAAACTTCCCTCGCTCTTGGTCGACTCCCTCCGTTGGCCATGTTCTCAGAGCACATGCATGTCTGGAAACCTCTGCCGCGCGAACCCCCCTGACCGGAACCCCTCTGCTGCGCGGAAACCCCCACCGTACTCCCCAGTTGCGTGCGCGCAACCCCTGACCAACCCCGTCAGCCGTGAGCAAAACCTCCGACTGGACCCCTTAGCCGCGCACGGAACTCAAATTCTCTTTGATTCAATAATATTGTCCTTAAGAAATCCTCTTTCAATTCTTTCTCTCATAAAGTAGAGGAAGAAGAAGAATATAATTCTAATGCTAGTGGGGGTGATGAATTTGAGGGAGAGGAAGACTTTAATCTTGATGAGGAAGAAGATTAAACTATAAGTTTAATTTTTTACTTACTTAGAGCTTTAGCACTTTGTTTTGAAGACATTTTATATTATGTATTATTTGAGTACTATGAATTTTTAATTATTAAAAATGTTTAATGCATGAATTTGGAGTTATTTTTTTTATTTTTTTAGCTTTTATATATATATTATTAATTATTTAATATATATAAAGTAATATTAAAATAGAGGTTATCCCGCTCCTTGTCATCTCGCTATCCCATTTTTAGGGTTGACCGCTTCGCTCCGCTATCCGGGATTGACTACTATGGGAGTGGTAAAGATACAATTATGGTGATAATATTCTGTTGGAATACAAGCAAAGTTTCACATCTTCCAAACAAAAGGATGGATATGGGTTTATATACACACGATTGTCTGCATTGGTAGAGAGGCCTTTTGAGTGGTATCCAAAAGCAAAGCTGTGAGGGTTGGGTCCAAAATAGACAATATTTAACTAATATGAAGACATGTGTATGTGTGTGGTAACCCCCAGTGCACAACAAAAGGGGTTTATTCTCACAAGATCTTGTTGTGTATCAGGGGTTACCACACACATACACATGTCTCCACATTGGTAAGATATTGTCCGATTTGAGCCCAGTTCTCACGATTTTTCTTTTGGATACCACCCAAAAGACCTTTCTACCAATGGAGACAATCGTCTATATATAAACCCATGTCCATTAGGGGTGTTCATGGATCGGTTTTTTGAAAAAATCCGAATCGAACCGGTTTATAAAAGTGGATTGGTTGACCGATCCATTTTTTATAAAGTGGATCGGTTTGGTGCGGTGCGGTTATCCATTTTTTACTCATATATGGATTGGTTTTTTTAGAAAACCGAACCAAACCAAACCGATCCATTTTGTAAAAAAGATATATGAAGTGTATAAGAATACCCGCCCTTTTTTTTTCTATTGAAATGAAAAAAAAAGCTTACACCTTCTGTCACATACGATAAAAATCTTGAGACAAATCGCAACCATTAACTATTAATTTATGAATGATTCTTGAATATTTGAATCTAGAATGGTTTTTTTTATTAATGAGATACTTAATGAGATAATAAAATCAAAGTTGATATATAACCAATCCATATTGATTTTAAATTGAAAAAAAAAAAACCTGCTTCATTCCAATTATAGCAGCAATTGTCAGTATATGTAAACCCTAGAACATAAATTGGAATTGTTACACAAATATTATCTAATCGGGTATCTTATGCATATATATATACTATATGGAATTTTCAGGAAATTCTGGTGCTTCTCCCTTTTTTTTTTACAATTTTTCTATTTATATTAAATAGATTGAATAAATAGATTGAATAGAAAAATTGTAAAAATGAAGACGATATGTTATGTGTTGTCCCGAACGAATATGACTGCAATAAAGTTAGAGACGGATCTATCTATATCTATCTATAGCTGGAATTAGATCTATGCGTGTAAAATAAATACAAGCCTTATTACATTACACACTCTAATCGTATTCTCCAAAAATAGTTCAAAATATCTCTTTTCTTTGCGAATTCCTTCCTTCGAAGTTGAGTTTAAAATTTTA